ACAAACAACGTCATCTCAAATACTCACAACCAAACTCATGCTTAGAAAAGAAACTAGGCCGGGTGCGGTGGCTCACGCCTGTAATCCCTGTACTTTGGGAGGCCGTGGAGGGTGGATCACCTGAGGTCAGAGTTCAAGACCAGCGTGGCTAACATGATAAAACCCAATCTCTACAAAAAATACAAAAAATTAGCTGGGCATGGTGGCACGTGACTATAATCTCAGCTACTCAGGGTGCTGAGGCAGGAAAATTGCTTGAACTGGGGAGGCAGTTTGTGCCACTGTACTCCAGCATGGGCAAGAAGAGCAAAACTGCGTCGCAAAAAAAAAAAAAGAAAAAGAAAAGAAACGAAAAGTGACCATCTCCCAAATATTAATGGTTTATTATCTTACGTGGGGAGGATTTAGACAAATTGCCCTTTTCTTCTGCATATTTTTATTTTTTTCTAAATATAGCACATATTAATTTTATAATCAGAATAAAATTATGAAAAAGTGCATATAATGAATCAATATTTCCTGTTTCTGTGATATCCCTCTCCTCCACCCCCAGAGAAGTCTTTTCCACTCTATTCTCAAGAGAAGAAGAGATCTTGTCTCCCTCTATCTCTTTCCATGTGTCTCACAGCTGGGGATAGGGAGGTGTCAGCATTTTACCTGGAACAGCTTAAGCATCTCACGGAAATAATTTCAGATAACCATGTTCTTCAAATAGAACCTCCCCAACTAGAAATCATCACCCTTAATGCTACCATATAAATATTGTGGGCTGGGTGCAGTGGCTTATACCTGTAATCTCAGCACTTTGGGAGGCTGAAGTGGGCAAATCACTTGAGGTCAGGAGTTTGAGACCAGCATGGCCAACATGGTGAAACCCTGTCTCTACTAAAAGTACAAAAAACAAAGTAGCTGGGCATGGTGGTGGGCACCTGTAGTTCCAGCTACTTGAGAGGCTGAGGCAGGAGAATCGCTCAAACCTGGGAGGTGGAGGCTTCAGTGAGCCAAGATCAAACCACTGCACTCTAGCCTGGGCAACAGAGCAAGACTTTGTCATGAAATAAATAAATAAATATTGCTTAGCATTTAATCAACCTCCTAAATAGTTTCATAAAACATGCAGCCACCTGGTCCCAATTAAAGGCAGATGAAGTTTGTCATGAGGAAGCCTGTTTGCCCATGGTCACCGGACTCTCACCTTCTTTCCAATGTTCCTCCGTCAGCAGCCTCTTAGGACCCCATACCTGAGCCATGTTAGGACCCGTAGTGTCCAGAACAGTGTGCAGCCCCGAGTAGACACTCAGTGAATGTTTGCGCAGGCATCCAAAAAGGAAGACAACAAAAGAAGCTGGCAGAAAAGAAAGAGAGAAAGATTTAGAAGCTGCTACCATCCCCAAAAGGCCCCTAGGAAGGGATGCATCTTGAGTTTAATATGCGAGTTGTAAGACAGGCAAAAGCAAGGCCTTGAGGGCAGAATGTTGGCGTTTGAAAGGAGCAAGAATGAATCCATTCATTCATTCATTCAGTCACTTATCACTCTAGCTCTATAGTAAGTAGCTATAGATGGCCTACTGTGTGCTTCAGGCTGTACCAGGGTTGTGAGCAGAGAGGCAGGTTCTCTGCGCTATTACAGAGCAGGTGCCGGACGAGGGGAAGGTTTTTTTTCTGTGACAGAGTCTCACTCTGTTGCCCTGGTTGGAGTGCAGTGGTGTGATCTTGGCTCACTGCAACCTCTACCTCCTGGGTTCAAACAATTCTCCTGCCTCAGCCTTCCAAGTAGCTGGCACTACAGACACACACTACTGTGCTCAGCTAATTTTTTTGTCCATACCTTTTAGAGATGAGGTTTCACCATGTTGGTCAGGCTGGTCTCAAACTCCTCACTTCCTGAGCTGCCTGCCTCAGCTTCCCAAAGTGCTGAGATTACAAGCATGAGCCACCGTGCCCAGCCCCTATTTTATTTTTATTTATTCATTTGGAAACAGGGCCTCGTTCTGTTACCTAAGTTGGAGTGCAGCAGTGGCATGATAAGAGCTCACTGCAGCCTTCACCTCCCTAGGCTTAGGTGATCCTCCCGCCTCAGCCTCTCAAAGTAGCTAGAGTCTCAAACTCATGTGCCACCATGCTCGGTTAAATCTTTTATCTTTTTTGTTTAATTTATTTTTTTTATATTAGCCTTACAGCACCCGGTATTCCCTGGCAGTCTCCCATCTAAGTACTAACCAGGTCTGACCCTGCTTAGCTTCTGAGATCAGACGAGATCGGGTGTGTTCAGGGTGGAATGGCCATAGACAACTTAAGGAGTGTGATCGTACCATGTTTTCCAGACTGATCTCAAACTCCTGCACTCAAGTGATCCTCCCACCCCAGCCTCCCAAAGTGCTGGGATTACAGGCGTGAGCCATGGTGCCCAGCTAGCTCAGGGTGATTTGGACTAGGAGGTCAGCCACTCAGCTTCGTCTCGGAGCAAATCACTGAATCGCAATATCCTGTCCTGGCTCTGCTGGTCCCAGTCAGCCTCAGTTGTACTGCCCCAGCTTATCTCACCTAGTCATTCATTCCAGTGTTTATTGAACTCCACGTGCTGTCAGACATTGTGCCTGGTGCTGAGACTACAGGAATGATATGCCACAGCCTGTCCTCTCCTGAGCTCACAGAGGAGCAGGGTGACGCTTGATGGCAAAGTGATGAGATCAGTGTTGCCAAGAGCTCAGCAAAGTGCTGTGGGGAGAGTGGCCCCAAGAAGTCTGCAGGGAAGGCTTTCATGGCAGAAAACATGGGCCTTAGCATAAGAGTTGTTTTCCATAAGAAAAAAAAATGGGAGTGTCCAGGATTTACATCCTTTCTGCAGTGGCCCAGAGAGGAGGCAGCCTCCCCTTCACCACTCTCCGCAAGGTGAGGATAGCCACTGTGGTAGCCTTGATTCTAGCAGGATGCCAGCTAAGGTACCAAAGTGGAGTGGTCACTCAGGGCCACAGCTGCACCTCGGGCCAAGGGGTCCCTACTGGGAGGGGAAAGGAAGGGTCCCAGAGCCAGTTGCCCTTGGCAAAGGGCAGGGGTCAGTTGTGTTGGCCGCACATCAGAAATTCATTAAAATAGTTAAATGGACACGAGCATTCACCGTCTCTTGGCAACAAGTCCTTCCTTCTTCCAGTTCTGTTCTGTGCCCAGAGCTGGGATGGATCAATGTGTGTGGGATGGGTGGGGAGGTGGGGTGGTGGATGGTTTCTCCTGAAACCGTCTTTTGGCCCAGTTTCAGGAGAAATTCAGCGGCTGAGGTGGGGAGCAAGGCTTATCTCCTGCTGGCAGCAAGTTGGGTGACCAAGCCTCTCTGCTGGATTCTGATTCTCCTTGCTGCCTGGGGTACCACTCCGGGTCTCTGGGCTGGTCCTGCAGCTCTCACTCAGCAGAGAGACTGTGTGCCTCCTGCACTCTGAAGATGGAGATCAGCCCTCCACAGTGACTTCTGGCAGCCACTTCTGTTTTGGAGCCTCTTCCTTTGGCATTTGACAAAGTCAGCAAATGAGCATTTTTGTTTCCTTTTGTTTTGAGATGGAGTCTCACTCTTGTTGCCCAGGCTGGAGTGCAATGGCGCCACACGGCTCACTGCAACTTCCGCCTCCCGGGTTCAAGTGATTCTCCTGCCTCATCCTCCCGAGTAACTGGGACTAAAGGTGCCCACCACCACAGCAGGCTAATTGTTTTTTGTATTTTTAGTAGAGGTGGGGTTTTACCATGTTGGCCATGCTGGTCTTGAACTCCTGACCTCAGGTGATCTGCCCGCCTCGGCTTCCCAAAGTGTTGGGTTTACAGGTGTGAGCCACCACACCTGGCCATGTTTTGATAAATCCAAGGATTTTTGGCTCCCAAATGAAATTTGTAACAGTCCACTATCTTTTGGTTGTTTTCCTTATTTTTAAGACTGACATAAAAGTAACTTTAATTTTTTCTCACTATAAGGGTATGCATACTTGATTTTTTTAAAAAAATAGAACATACAGATAGGTGAAAAGAAGAAAAGTAAAACACCTATAGGTGCTCAGATCCTGGCTTCAAAATGCCATTATCCACTAAAAGCAACCAGTCCCCTTGGAGAAATGGCTGATTTCAAGGCTTAGAAAGTACAAGATAAGTCTGGAACATCATGTCATGCCAGAAAGACAGGGAGTGCTCAAAATCTATTATGGAACCTGTCAAAAAGATGCAGGAGCCAACTTGAATGGCTCCTACTGGCCAGATTGGGGCCAATTTTGAGCATCAAAATAAATATGGACAGTAATAGCTTATAATCCATTGATGAAAATAAGACTATGAACACATTTTGATAATTAATAAATGAGAATTAATTCCCCATAATTAATAAACATAGAAACGATGACATTAAAAATCATTGGGTAAATTTCATCAATGAATTCTAAATTGAAGGTGGGGCAGAAGTCTGATAAGGGATTGAAAAATGTACATAATCTCAAAGTATCTTCCCTCAAATTATCTATGAGGTACATAAGGAGAAATAGAAGGCATACTATGGAAAAAGCACAAATGATAGTTAGATGATAAAAGTTAATATCACCCCTAAGGGACAAAAAGACATCACTTGTCTCTAGATGTGATACCTTTACAAGGATACAACGTCATTTACGTAACATTTCAGACAAAAATGCATAAAGTGATTCAAATTATGAGGAAGAGTCAGACAATCTGTATTGTCTATGAAATAATAGGTCTGTGTTCATAAAAACTGTCACTGTCGTAAACGGCTAAGAAAAACCAATAGATTCTTGCAGATCGAGAAGACAAAAAGAGGTGACAACTAAATGGGATGCGCTGTCCTGAACGGGATTCTGGACAAGGAAAAAACAAATTCCTATAGAGGGCAAATGGGGACAATTGATTAAGTTGGAATATAGACTGTATCTTAGATGAAAGCATTGTATCAATATTATTATTAATTATTATTATTTTTTGGATGTGGGCAAATCTCTTTTTAATTGCAAAGGACTTCATATCGGAATCATGAGAAGAGAAATCGAAGTGGTGATGCACGTGTTGGAGTCATCCATGAACTCAAAGTCACTGCCCAGTTCAGAACTTGAAAAGTGATACTGATCCGGATCCGCCAGGGCGCTCAGCAAAATCAACAGTACCACGGGATTGATGATCAGGTACCAGACGCCGAGCAGGATGGTGTCGGTGCGGACATGGCAGCACAGGCAGCAGCTGTTGGAGTAGAACTGCGTCCAGGGCGCAACCATCTTCATCGCTCTGGGCTCAATGGCGCGAGAGCCCAAGTTTTCAGGTGCGTCGACCGCCTCGTCCCGGGCCCGCCCCGCCACTGCTGCCTGCTCCTGGACCGCTCCGGCTCCGGCCTGCAGGCCTCCCTCCTCGATCCCCCGAGAGCTGCGAGCGGCTCTGTATCAATATTATATTTCTGGAATTTGCTAAGGGTTCTGTAGTTATGTAAGGTACTTTTTGTTCTTAAGAAACGTATATTGAAATATTAAGGGATAAAAGGCATGATATTTTGTAACCTACTCTCAAGTGTTTCATAAAAAAAGAATTAGGCAGCCGGGCGTAATGGCTCACACCAGTAATCTCAGCAGCCGAGGCGGCCCGTTCACCAGGTCAGGAGTTCGACACCAGTCTGGCCAATATGGTGAAGTCCTGTCTCTACTAAAAAATACAAAAATTAGCTGGGTGTGGTGGTGGGCACCTGTAATCCCAGCTACTCAGGAAACTGAGGCAGGAGAATCATTTGAACCCAGGAGGCAGAGGTTGGAGTGAGCCGAAGCCGAGATTATGCCATTGCACTCTAGCCTGGATGACAGAGCGAGACTCTGTCTCAAAAAAAAGAATTATGCAAGCATAAATGTAGATAGAACATAGAGCCTATGCTAGATAGAAATAACAAAACAGGTTGTTAACAATTGGTGGGTCTGGGGGAAGAGTATACAGAGTTTTTGTAGTATTGTACTATTCTTGAAACTTTTCAGTAGGTTAGAAATTGTTTTAAAATAAAACATTGTATAAAGAACAGAAACAACATTGGAGCTACCTATTTTTTTTTTTTTTTTTTTTTTTTTTCCGAGACGAAGTCTTGCTCTGTCACCCAGGCTGGAGTGCAGTGGTACGATCTCAGCTCACTGCAACCTCTGCCTCCTGGGTTCAAACGATTCTCCTGCCTCAGCCTCCCGAGTAGCTGGGGTTACAGGTGAATGCCACCACAGCCGGCTTAATTTTTTTTTTTTTTTTTTTGTATTTTTAGTAGAGGCAGGGTTTCACCATGTTGGCCAGGCTGGTCTCAAGCTCCTGACCTCAGGTGATCTGCCTGCCTCAGCCTCCCAAAGTGTTGGGATTACAGGCTTGAGCCATTGTGCCCAGTCTGGAGTTACCTATTTTTAAAAAACTCAGATATGACAAAAAGGACATCCGTAATTGTATTAACCTCAGGTGATCCTTGTTTACACCATGGTGGTTCTCAATCCAGAAATGCTTTTCAAACAAAACTGGAATTAGAATGATGCCACAATTTTGTTAGTAAAGCAAAGTATTGCCCATGGCTTTTCTCTGTACACACACATACATACACGTTTTATAAGTCGCCATAATTATTAATGGTAAGTCTGGGCACAGTGGCTCATGCTTGCAATCCTAGCACCTTGGGAGGCCGAGGTGGGCAGATCACTTTGAGATCAGGAGTTGGAGACCAGCCTGGGCAACATGGTGAAACCCAGTCTCTACTAAAAATACAACAATGAGCCATGCCTGTGGTTCCAGCTTCTCAGGAGGCTGAGGCAAGAGAATTGCTTGAGCCAGGATGTGGAGGTTGCTGTGAGCTGAGGTTGGACCACTGTACTCCAGCCTGGGCAACAGAGTAAAACCCTGTCTCAAGAAAAAAATTAATATAACCTGTCATTATTTGTATTATTCAATTTTATAGAATTGCCCTTATTTATCTAATCAATAGTTGCCAGATGTAGGTTTTTTTCCCCCGTTTTCTCACTTTTTTAAAATTTTGAGACAGGGTCTTGCTCTGTCACCCAGGCTGGAGAGCAGTAGAGATCACAGCCCACAGCAGCCTTGATCTCCTGGGCTCAGGCAATCCTCTCACCTCAGCCTCCCAAGTAGCTGGAACTACAGACACATACCACTATGCCCAGCTAATATTTAAAAAAATTATTTATGTAGAGATCGGGTCTCCCTATGTTGCCCAGGTTGGTCTCAAACTCCTGGGTTCAAGTGAACCTCCAGCCTCCGCCTCCCATAGTGTTGAGATTACAGGTGTGAGCCACTACATCTGGGCTTTTCTCACTATTAACAAGGCTTCTGAGGATATGCTTGTAGATAAATCTCTGAGCACAGCTATGGACATGTTCTTAGGATAAATTCCTAGAATATGGAATACCTAGGTCAAAGGGCTAACATATTTTTAAGGCTTTTGACATGATTAAAAATTTTCAAAATTTCCATTCCAAAAGTTCATCCCCATGCATTGCCTCGCCAGTTTTTTTATGAGATTATCTATTTTCAATTTTCTTACCTCCAATTGTATTGATTTTTCATCTTTCATCTTTGCCAAATGCAGTGAAGGGAATGGTCTCCCCTTTGTGGTTAGAATCTGTAATTTTTTTATTATTCCTCAGAGTGAACTTGAGCACTTGTGTTTCTTCTTTTTCCAATGATGGCTAATCATGTATTTCATCAAATCGAAGGACACACTGGTTCTAAGACATATCACCATTATTTTATATGCCATTAAAGAAAGAACAATGCATCCCAGTTTCTGAGATGTTGAAACATGTGCACTTAGAATTTGTGAAATAAGTACTTTAAAAAATACCTCTGAGATCTGTGGGCTGACAGCTCAGATTCAGGTCAAGAAATGAGGCTGCCTGGGGCCCTGTGTGATTGGGCAAGTTGCTTAACCTTCAGAATGATCTGCAAAGTCTTTTGGGATTTTTTTCAGAACCTAAGAGCCATTATTAAAACAAAGATAATCATACCTTTCCTGACCAACTTGTTTTTCACTTTCTCTACTGTTTACTAAACATGGATGTTCTGTGTCATCCCCAGCGTCTGCACATGAGGAGTTTGCAATTTAATAGGGAGACAAACAGATAATTGTTCTGCTGGGGAAGTCATGTAAGGCTAAGAGAAGGAGGTGAAGAGGCAGAGGGAGAGCTTGATCTTGTGGGATTTATTCATTCAGCAAATATTTTCTCATCCTCACCATGTGCCTGGGACTATGCTAGGTGCTGAGGTTAAGTGAGTATTTTTGTCTCCTTGAGACCAAGCCTCACTGCATCACCCAGGCTGGAGTGCTGTGACACAATCTTGGCTCATTGCAACCTCTACCCCTCAGGTTCAAGCGATTCTCCCGCCTCAGCCTCCTGAGTAGCTGGGACTACAGGCATGTTCCACCATGCCCAGCTAATTTTTCTATTTTTAGTAGAAATGGGGTTTCACCATGTTGGCCAGGCTGGTCTTGAACTCCTGATCTCAGACAATTCACCAGCCTCGGCCTCCCAAAGTGCTGGGATTATAGGCATTAGCCACTGTGCCCAAGTGGGTATTTTTAAGATGTGCATAGGGAATGGGCATTTGGGGCAGAGAAAACAGTAGGGACAGTGAGGTAAAGGAATAGGAGCTGAAGTGTTTCCTGGGAAACAGGGAGTGGTTCCCAGGAGGGAAAGCTGTAGAAGATGGGGCAAAAGATAGGATATTATCAACCCCATTTGGTTGATGCAGATATTGAGGCTCAGAGAGACAAGTTAGGCAATGTTCTAGGGCCCCACAGCAAAAGACTACTGCATGATGTTGGATTTATCTGTTTGTGCATCTGGCCCTCCACCCCTGCTCCAACTATGAGCTCTTTAAAAGAAGAAGGCACCATCTTTTATTCTAAGTACCTAGCACAGTGGGGTCCCATTATGGATATTGCCATACCTACTTGTTAAATGAATGAACAAATGAATGAATGAATGAATGAGTGAGTGAACTATTACGGAAGTGATGAATGTCAAGTCCCTTCCTGCAGCCCAGAGGTCTGAATGAGTTCAGTCTCAAAGAACTGGTTATATCATTTCTGTCCGGGTGTTTCCTAGAGGCCTGCACTGCCCAGTCCCTGGTCCCACCTTGCCTGGATTGTGCATGGAAGTGGCTTCACTGGTCTAACCACTAAATTAAAAAGAAGGCAACCTGAGGTGGAAGGACAGGCAGTACCTCCTAGAGCCTCAGGGTGAGCATGGGGAGACCTGTTACTAGAACCACCTCTTCCAGCTGAGACTTCCCTAGAACGGTAACTCAAGGGAGCTGCTCTAGCCATTTAGGCAAATCCTGTTTCCAAGGTAATTTGCCTAATGAGAAGGATGAGTAAGGGCTGCGTGAACTGTAAAAGGCTGTGCGAACAGGAAGGATTTCCATTTGGTATTGCTACTAATCTCGTGGAAAGAGAGTTCTAATAGGGACTTTAGTCATCACTTTGTTCTCTATCTCCACTTCACAGATAAGGACAGTGAAGCCAAAGAGGGAAGGGGCTTGGCTAAAGTTATCCAATAGGCAAGGAGGCATAGAAAGATAGCACACTGGTAAAAAGCTGGTGTACCTGCGTAGACAAATGGGTCCCATCTCAGCTTCACTCATTATTAGCTGGGGGGAGCTTGGGCAGGTAAATCAGTTCTCTGAGCATCAGATTCTTCATCTATAAAATGGAATAATGATAATTAGTTTAAGGGTTGTTGTAAGGATTGAATAAGGTAACAAATGAATGGAAAGACCTTTATATGTACCTGGAATATAGAAGGTGATGAATAAATGTTAGATGTTATTACTTTGCTACTATCATTATTTATCATTATATATCGGCAGAGCCGGGCTAGGATACATGACCTCCTGACTCCCATTCTGTCTTCTGCAGTCACCAGACTCCTTGAGTTCAGCATATCAGACTGTCTAAGTTTACTAGAGCTTCATTCATTCATCACATATTCAATGAGCGCTTTTTATGTATTAAACAAAATGCTAGTTACTGTATGCATAGAGGGTGGTAATGGGGAGTGGGCACATGATAAGCAAGAGGTATAAAAATGAGACAAACACAGTCCATGCTGTCCAGGTGAGTATAGCCTGGAGAACTTAGACATGGGAGGGAAAGGAGAAGCTATCCCTATGTATAAAAGGCAAACCATCTTACAAAGTGAAATTGATTCTGGAAGCCATTTTGGGAGATCAAGGAGCCATTCAGAAACCTGGGTAAGTCCAAGCCTGTCCAACATTTTC